AAAAAAAAATTAAGCCAGAAAGTCACACACAAAAATGTCTTCAAGTGACTGCTCAGTGAGTGACTTAGTTAATACAAATTGTGTTTATCTCTCATTCATATCACACCAACCGGAGCATGGGTTAGATTATGACTGCACTTTGTCACTCAGAGACTCAGATGTCTTCCATCTTCTGGCTCTGTTATTAAATGCCAACCAGTATGGCAAGTTGTAGTCAACAAAAGTATTTTGTTGGGAGTGCTCAAGAGATGCACCACCTAATTCCATATGGCATGAAAAGGTCTAGGGTTACAGAACATTGCTCTGTCCCTAGAGGATGGTCTACTGTCACCAAAGAATAGAAAAGAAATGAGGTGTTACTAATTGTGTGATCACTTAAAATTTGAGAAAAAGCATTTAAAATTTCTGTGATTGCCTCAAGTTTCATGTATTTGTCTACCCAAATTTTCTTTCAAATGTTCTTTTAATGTTCACATTCTTTTTATGTTCCTTACAGACATACATCTTGCCTATTAATGGTCTGCATTGCACAGAGTAAGAGGTCTGGGGATCCCAAGCAGGTTGAGATGAAAGAGGAGAGGCCAAAGTCAATGACAAAAAGTCCGCAGTGAGAAATGAGTGACTGAGAGTCCATCTTCTCCATCAAGAAGGAGCTTAACAACTCATCTCACCAAGCAGTGATGGGGTACTTGACTATGACAGCAAGACATAAGCACAGTGTCCAGACTCTTGCTGAGGAGGTGGCTAAAGCCCACAGGCCCAGTGCTCATGGGGGGCAAATCCATGTCCATGGTCCATGGGGACCATTCAAACATCAATAAGACCCGGTTCTGTAAAGAGAAGAATGTATCATAAATATGGGCATATGCCAGGAAAGGGTTATGTCTTTCGAGCTCAAAATGGTTCAAGAATTTAAAACTAAGTTTAGGAAATAGAAACGCTCTCAAAGTTTAAGTCACACTCACAGTCTACTCTGATGTGAGTCGCATCTGAATCTGTGCAGCATCTGCAGGACTTATCAACCAGCTCCTGTGTGAGTCACAAACAGTAGTCACATATATTAAAACATCCTGTCTTCCCACAGGCACATTTTTTTTAAGGTAAATGGGACAATTGTCTCCCTATTTTACAGATGAAAAGCTGTTTTTTAAGCTGTTTTTAAGTGACCATCTAGGATGACATAACCACAAAGTAGCAGTGGGAGAACTCAGACCCTACCTAGTCTTCGTCTTGTACCATGAAAGCCCTTGTTTAGACACTCCATGTCATCCAACTTCCTTAGTTCCAGCTCAGGGTACTTAAGCAAGTAAACTTGCACAGCCAGCTCTGGGTCTGATTACAAAGATGTACTTCAAACCTGTGTTCTCTTGAGAAAGATTACACTTGCACTTTCAGACAGGGCTTCTTCCTCCTCCTCTGTAAAGGCAGTTGCCTTTAGACTGGTATCCCAACTTTTCTAAAAGACATGTCGCCGGCATTTCCACAGAGCTCCCTACCCTACCCCTATTCCCACCGATTTCTAAGTTTAAATGAAAAATATGGAGAGTCCCATCTCAATTTTTTTATTTGCTATTTGTAAAAGGAAACAATGCTAGTAACTTTGGCTCACAGGGAAGAAAATGGAAAGTAATGACACTCAGATAAACTCAGAGAAATGTTCCCTGAAAATAAACTTGAATTTATGTTTGGGGAAAAAAAAAGAAAAAATTGGAAATTCCTTAAAAAGATAAAAATAGTATTATCGTATATGAGATCCAATAATACCTTTCCGATTATGTATTCAAATTTATTCAATGCAGGATCTTGAAAGTATATTTGCACACTTGTGTTTATTGTAGCATTATTTGCAATAGATAAAACAGTTTGTTCATCACATGAATGGATAAAGAAAATATTCTTTGTGTGTGTGTGTGTGTAGGAATAGATAGTGAAATATTATGAAACTTTAAAAATAAAGAAGTTTCTGCTACCTGCTACAATATGGCTAAACTTTTAATTCATTGTGATCTTCAAAATAACTGAGTTACTAAAAGCAAATACTGTATGTTTTCACACATATGGAATATATAAAACAATACAAATCATAAAAGCAAAACATAGCAAAGTAATTGTCAAGGGTTGGGGAAGGGATAATTAATATTTAGGGGGCATAGAGTTTCAGATTTTAAAATAAAAAAAGTTTTCAAGTTTTTTGTACAATTGTGTAAATACACATAGCATTACTGATCTGTGCAGTTGAAATGGTAAAGACTGTACAGTGAATGTTTCTACCACATTGAAAAATGTTCACATTCTCTGAAAATAAATAAATTAAATCTGGGAGCGACAACAGCTAGAACTCATCTTCCATAGTTTAAATGTGGGTTTGATAGTTGGGTCATCTAAGAGAAGGAACCATGATTTAAGAATCAAGACTGATCATTTTAGTTCTGTTCTATTATTTGAAAGCAATTTTTAAGATTTTGGATAATTGTTTATTTTCTTTCATTCTCACTTTTCATGCTTAATATAAGGATGTTGATGCCATGATTTTCAAAGCCCTTCTTGCTCTCACATTTAATATATGTATGTTTTTTGGTTTGGTTTTTTTTTTTTTTTACTTGCTTATTTTTTTAAAGATTTATTTATTTGTTCATACAGAACTGGGGTACAGGCCAGGCAGTGAGAGGCTTCACCAGAGACAGAGTGGGGAGCAGAACAAGCAGATCCATGAAGTACACTGCTGAGGGGGGCAGCGGGCGGGTCAGGAGAGGTCTGCCACGCCATGTGGTCACCTCCGGGGCAGGCGGGAATCGAGCTCATGCGAAGAGGCTTTAGCTTCCTGCTGCGCTTTGACCCGCTGCGCCACCAGGGAGGGCCAATATATGTATGTTTTTAAATGGTTGTTCTGCTTACTAGTAAAGTGCCACAATTGAGCACTTAAAATGAAATTTAATTATGCACTAATTAATTGAATTAACTGGTCATTGATCAAATTCATGTGCCTCCTTTGAAATCAGAATAGGTGAGACTATGGCAGCTACAAGGCACTGGCAGATCACCCAGGATCCACCCCACCATCTCCAACCTCGACCTGCCCCCACCCCTTGTCCTCATGAGCTCCACCTACGACATTCACCTGAGCAGACCACACCCACGTCTCCCTTGTGGCACTGCTCTCGGGGCTGCTCCTTCCCTGAGCAACGAACGTCATCCAGCCAGAGTTGGCCAACTCCACCACCAAAGCGTCTCCCGTCTTTGGCAGGGGGAGCGAGGGACTCCCCACAGCCCAGTTGCCTGCATACCCCCGTCCTGTTTATCTCCCCAGTGTCGTCACAGACGGAGCCCCAAACCCCCTTGTGCAGCCGTCTGCCAGAGGAGCCGCTGTCTTCCCCTACCAGCCGCAGGTCAAAGGGATCTGCAGGGCCCAGGAGGGGGGCAGGGATAGTGAGACGGTCGGAAAGAAGAAAAAGATCATCTTCAGCTACGTTCAAATCTCACCAGCACGCTTGAACGTCTGCACCTGTTTTCCTATGATAACAGCCCCTTCTCTAGGTCCCACTCCCATGTGACAGGTCCACTTCCTCACCTAGCAATGTCTCCCTTCCCCATCTACCTTATGAAAACCTAATATTTATAAGTGACTTTCTAGGAGGCTTTAAAAGCTGAAGTACCACAATTACATGGGATGGTCCGTTCTGTCCCTGCTACATAGAGTTCAATGTAGTAACTCATTTTAACATAGTGCAATGTCTAAAGCATTTTCATATACAAGACAAGTATTATTATTTCCTCCTGAAATCTACAAAAATTGACAATCAGCACAACTTAGTAACTGTCTTTGCAGTTTGAGTATTGCTCTGTGAACACTGATTGAACAGAACTCCATTTAATCCCACTCAAAATGACTTAAGTCTGTACTGATAGGCTTTACCTTCACACTCAGCCCACCTGTCTTCATCGTGGGTACAGCTGTTCTCCCCCCAGAGTCCGGAAGGGCAGTCTGCAAGGCTCTTTTCTTGTCCTGAACATGACAACCAACTCAGCCAGATGGGCCCTAGGCCCTGGGTGTGCTTATTGCAGCATCTTTGGGTGCTTGTGGCCCTCCCACACCCTAGCTGCCGACACATCACCTTTGCAGCTGGGAGGCCTCTTTGCGATATGCACACAGTACCCCACTGATCTTGGCGCTTCACCTCCACACGCCCCTTACAGCGTCCAGGGCCATCAACCAACCACAAGCTCTCTAGCACTGTGGGAAAAGAAAGAGGAAGGGTCTGTTCCAGTTCTCTGTTCTTAGTGAATAGTCCAATATACGCTAGAGTGCTGAGCGCTGCCTAAGATGCCTGTGGCAGAATGGCTGAGTGAATCAACGGGGTGGAAGTCATTTCTCAATTCCAAGTTGAATCATTATTTCTGTAACATTTTTGATTTTTCAAAAATTTAAGTTCTTACTTGTTAGTAAAAGAGGCAAGCAGAAGCATTGCATTTTTAAATATAATGAAGCATAATAACAATCATGCATGACATGTCCAAAATCAAAAAGATTTGCTTCAGTTTCTCACCCCAGCATCCCAGATAAGTGTTCCCAACCCTCAATTTTCTAAGAAATGAGAATGAGAACTTTGATCAGGCACAAAGACTTAATGGGTATCAAACTGTGGGGTAACAAAGAGAAAGAATGGACTAATTCTGCAGCTAAATCACAGTCTAGAGTGGAAGAAAGTATACACAAACAGGGGAGAAATTATCAGCACATTAGGGCCAAATATGTGAACGTGGAGTAAATGAATTCAATGCTGGGAAGAGAGCTGTGTTGTGTTATTTCCTATCAGCCTCTCATACATAGTTATACACAAGAGAAAACTGAGAGAAGAGTCATGGCCTCAACAGGGAAGAAAAACAATTTTAGCTAATATTATATATAGTATATAATAGCAACTATACTTAATTTTATATAATTGGAATATTGCTTTAATCATGTATTTATTGTCTGTATATTAGTAATATCTCACCTCTCTTTCTATAATTAGATTAAATAGATAGGTAGTTAGTAGGTAGGCAGACAGATAGATAGAGACGCCCTGTAGGTGCATTGCGTTGACTTCCGATTAACTTCTCCTATCTACCTAACCATTTGATGAGCTCCTGGAGAACTGACAAAGTAGTTATTATACTTTATAAATTCATTTTCCCCCCATAATGTGACCCTGGGCTCCAGACACAAGAAACACTACTCAGAAAACATTTAATGAGTGATGGTGTAAATATAAAGAAGAGAAACAGGTTGTCATATAGATTGAAACTAAAAGAAACATCATTAGTTAACGCAAGAAAGAACAGCAATTCTAGCTGCAAACATTTATCATCAAGACCCACCCAAAATCAAGAAAATGTGAGGGCAAAGGAAAATGGCCAGCAGGGTGTGAGCCGTTGGCACGTGACCCTAAAGTCCCGCATACTCACTCTCACAGGATACACCTGCATCCTCCTCATGAAAGCAGTCAAAAACATCTTCATTTTTATTGCACTGAGACAGTGCATCTTCCATCCCTGTGCAACTGACATTTTGGAAGAGGACTTTTTGTTCTTCTGCTGCTGGTGGCTTATATAAATTACCAAAGGGCACTGCCTTGGCTGGTCTGCAGCTCAGCTCCCAGCACACCACGGCATCATCTTTTAAGTCCCTGCCATCATCACAAATGGTGCCCCACAGGCCTTGTGTTCCACCTCCACCTGCCCTTCACAGTGGTGGTGGCCTCCCACCAGTCGTAGCCTGGATGAAGACTCTGCAAAAAAATGAGACAATGAGACAGTGACTGGAGATCTCTGGGGCAGCCCAGAGGGGGCAAAGACATACTCAGTTATCTTGAGACTCGTCTTCATGTAGGCCGAGAAGAGTTGGGACATGAGACAGAGGAGAACAAAAAGGAAGGAGAGGAGAGGAGCTTCAGGACCTCCCTGTCTGGGTTCTGGTTCTGCACCCTCCCAAGAAACTCCACTTAGGTTACCTTGTTATGACTACTGATTTTTGAATTTAAAGATTAAGAGAAAGAGATTGATGAAGATCCAGTAGAGCTTAGAATCTCCAGGTGTGGACTTAGAATCTCTAATCTCTTAGAATATCTTCCAAAGACCATCAAAATCCTCCCCACTATTTCACAGATAAAGAAAATGGTCTTTCATTTTTACATTTTTATGACAGATCAAAATGAAGACCATATGGTAATTCTATCTAGTAATGGAGTCCTCAGGTGAAAACATGAAGACATAATATCTGTTGTGATCTTTCTTCTTCATGACTCTCTCCCCATGGCAGCCAGACTGGGACAGGCTGTCCAGGTATAATTTAAGCTGAACAACCTAATTCTCCACATCTCTCCTGCCCCTTAATGTCCAATCATCCACCCCTGTGTATTATTGTTGCTTCCTATGTCCAACTCAGTTCAGAAGAAACACAGTAAACATTGTCAAACAGAGGCTCAGAGTCTCAAAAATTCTAGGAGATTCTAAGGTTTGTGGGTGGGAGAAAGGCTCCATGTGTTTTCCAGATAAGTCTGAGGGCTACAGAACCAGTTTCTGCTCCCTGACTTCCATTCTGGGAATGGAAAGCACTATCAGAAAGTACTCTTCCTTTCACCAAGACAGACAGAGAATGGAGATAACTGTGCAGGGAGACCAAGGAAGAGCCTTGGAAACCAAGGGAATCTTGGAGAGCCAAGAAAAAGTTCATGAAACAAACTTTTGCTGAGCAGATACTACATTCTAGCTAGTATTCTATGAACTCAGAGAACTATGATGAACAAGATAATCCAATTGCTGTCCTTAAAGAGTGTTGATGTAAGGGGCTGAGGCAATCCCACCAGGTGTGCTGCAGCCTCGGAGTGACATACAGAAGAGCTAAATTTGAATGGGGCAGTCTGAAGAGTTCTATTGATCCTGTAGAGGCCAAATATAAACTAAAAGTCTGTGTCCCGTGAGCATGAACAGTGAAGCAAAAAGTGTAACATGTGACAACAGGAGCCACATGGCAGGGCTTCTCACATGAATGGAAGGTGACTGCCCACCTCATCTCAACACTGCACAAACTCCCCAGAACTTGAAAGCAGCCATGGGAGAAGTTCTTGAATGAGGAAACTCTGACCTGGCTGCTTTTAAACGGTATTGAGATTTTATGTTTGGATTTATTCATTTGTTTTTGGTTCTTTCCTTTTCTTCTGTCACATTTTGGAGGAAGCAAGATGAGGAAAGAAAGCTAGTGATAGAAATTAAATTATATCTGCAAAAAACTAAGACATGTTTTCACCTTCTGCATACCCAAGTTTAGGTGTATATACCTAAGTAAAAATATAAGTCCCGAGGAGTTAACTAGAAATAACTTCTGGGTCATTGTAACCAAGATGAGCATTAGGATTGGCATCATTATGCACTCTGGTGAATATTAGCTATTGGGATCATGTATAGGTTATTTTATTTGATTTTGAATTATAAAATTTTCCTTTAAATGAGTTTTTATTTTCCATGAAGGGGAGAACTAGAACACCTTCTTGGAAAGCACATATGTGTACAGAAAGAAAAAGAGTTTAAGTATAAATTAAATCTCAGAAGAGATGAGAAAAGAACTGAAATCTAGAGAAAAAGGTGGAGAGGCTCACCTACACAGTGTGTCCTGGGCTATGCTTTGCTAGCTGAGAGATTGAGGGCCTAGGTGGAGAAGCAACATCCCGAGCTGTGGGGAGACCCTAAAAGGGCACCTGTCTCCATGCACCAACTGTGAGAGGCTGAAAAACCTCTGAGTTATCTGAGTGTTAGGCTGAGCACCCAGATGCAGCCCCCTGGAGGGACCAGGTGTAGAAGGTGTAGAAGGCCGTACATCTCTGGGGAAGCCCCTGCTATCAAGAAAAGAGTAGCTTGAATGAATAAGGTAGGAGACAGACAAGCCACAACCAGCCCCCTGAGTATAAGCCACCAAAGCCTTCCTCCCACACTTATTGTCTCTGTGCGGCCTCATGGCCTCCTCACCTGGGCAGCATGGGTATCGCCCAAAGACTCCTCACATTCTGAATCACCCAGTATTATAAACCAATGTTGCTGCAACAAAAGCAAACAAAAACCAAACATCCCAGAGGTGGCCAGTGATGACAAGGTCTCCAACCTTCCTGCTGCTGTCAGACCATATGCTGCACAAAAGCAGATGACTTTCTGGTTTGGTGGTGGCAGAGGGACTTAGAAGTGGTGGAACCCAGGGGGCAAAAGGAAAGTCACTTGCCAGATATGCCCACAAGGAGAGTGGAAAGGTGTCCTCTGAGCCTGAAACAAAGTCACCCACTACCTGAGGCTGCTCAAGAGTCTTGGGCCACAGAGGTCAAGTGGGAAGAAATTCCCTTGCAAGATAAGGCACACCGATCCCTTCTGTGTGCTGACGGTGGCCATCTATCACATCGAGACCATGTGGATGAGACAGGAAACCAAACGGAGCCCTGTTGGAACTATTTTGAGCCAATGCCTCTCTTCATGATCCAAGGAAATTCAAAATTTCCTCTCTCTGCAGCTTGAAGTTCTTCCTTTTGAAACATTAAAAAGAAATCTCATCTGAGAAGTCAGGTCCTGTGCAAAAGGTTAGGGGGGGAAAAAGAAAGTTAGTGAGGTTATGTAATCAATTTCCAAACTTTGCTCATATAACTCAACCATCTAGAAGGCTTCTACCAAATTCTGAGAGATAATCACAGTGATTAATACAGCCCTGTTAGGAACTTCTCCGGGGGGCACACATGAGCACTGGCCAACCCCACCCCGAAAACTGACCCAGGCATCTCTACATTTGATGGTGACTGCCAGGGGCATGGATAGACTTGGGTTTCTGTTCTAGTGATGTAATAGTTGGGCTTGAAATAATAGCATGTTGCAAGCCCTGGGAAGACATCATGGTAGAGCAAGATAAAGGTGCCAGAGAGGGGCAGCTCAGAGTAGGGAAACTGGCAGGATCGATCATGTTCACTGGCGCTGCATTTAGGGTCAACAAACTTCTAAAAGGGCCAGAGCTTATATACTTTAAACTTTGTGGGTATGTGGTTTTTGTTACAACTTTTACCCAGCTCCACCTACAACATGAGGACAGTCACATGTCTGCAATGAGTGAGCATGGCATGTCCAATAAACCTTTACTTAAAGACACTGAAATTTAAGCTTATGGCAGTTTCATATTCTTTTGATTTTGTTCCACCATTAAACCTGTTAAAATGACTCCATTTCTGGGTTGCAGATTGTCGAGCCCTGGTCACGGGCCAGAAAACACCTCCACATTAGTTCTAAACCTTTAGGCTCAAGCACCAGCACATTTTCAAGACATTCAAGTTCCTTCCTCCAGATCTCTGAGTGGAGATCTGCTCTGCCATCAGCACTCTTCTAATGTTGTGGAGTCCTGAACCCTGTGTCCTCCAGTGGTCCCTGAGTCTGGGCACTTGGATCTGCAGGCCTGGGTGGCCCCACCTTCATCCCACCTTATAGGTTATTTCTGAAGGAGCTAACACCTTTGACCCTCCAACTGAAAGCTTTCCAGGCAGAACAACTATTTCAGTGGCTTACTTGAAACATTTTCTTCCATTGGGATCCTACTATTTATTTTTTTAATTATTTATTTAAGCATACAAGAGTTGGGGTACCGGCCAGAGATGGGGAAGGTAAAATGATTCACCAGAGATAGAGTGGGGAGCAAAACAGGCAGCTGTACTGAAATACACTGCTGAGGGGAGCAGTGGGTGAGGTAAGGGAGGCCTGCTGTGCCATGTGGGTCAGCTCCCTGGCCAGAGACTGAACTTGAGAGTTGCAGACAACTATATGGTGCTGCATCCTAACTCCTCCACCACAGGAAGGGTACCCAAATATTTCTTAACAAGCCCATACCCTTAATCTTTCAGATGTGATCACCCCCAGAGACCATTTCTGCAACTATCTAAACCTCAAGATTAGATTATACACAACACTCACATGTCTGGTGAAGAACACACACCATGCTGACATGTGAGGCGACTAAACACACAAACCTGAGAGCAAGAGGTGGTAGAAGCATGAAAGCCTGCAGCAGGTGAGGAAGCTCTGTCGCAGGACTGATAACTAGGAGTAGCGCAGATCAAAGAAGGGGGTGGAACTGAAGGTGAGTCTGGGAGATTCAATAGTATGTTCATGATGATCACACATAGCTGCTGGGTGACAGGGTGCATCGATGTTTAAGAATAAGGCCAGTACCCTACATAGGACACATAAATATCCAATTAGAAACCAGTGTGGGCTTCGGTGATATACCAGGTCATCAGGACAATAAAAATAAGCTAGTTTTCTTAGGCAAAGGTTCTCCACAAATCTCTGGGGGACATAATATCTTACTTTCATAGGTGACAGCAAGATTGTAAGGATATATGGTATTTTAAAAATTCAGACAACTAAGAACCCAAAGAGTCAGGATGAAAAGTCTGGCCCCTTTAAGGTACAAAGTCCCAATTTACTCTAGGTTAATCCAGACAGGAAAAGTAGGGAAGCAGTTTGAAAGGAAACTATATAATATTATCAAAGAAAGGTATTGGTCTTACAATGTTATTTCCTTTTTTTGTTCCACCTACTGCTATCTGAGTTCCATTATCTGTCTTTTTATAAATCCCTAAATAAATACTTAAGGAATTTTATGTAAATAGTAAAAGAAGGTAAATAATTATAGTAAATAAAAATATGATAATCAAAGTGTATCATAAATTAAGTGACTATGTAGGTTTAGGACAGTTGCCAGACGTAGAGAAGGGAGGAGAATCCTCTGTGTGAAAGAAACCTGGGTTGGCACCAGGCATCTGGGCAGAGAGGGGATTCTCTTCCAAGAGTTCCAGAGCACTTGAAGG